CAGGCTGGCCTTGAACTCACAGAAATCTACCTGCCTCTGCCTCCTGAGTGCTGGGCTTAAAGGCATGCGCCACCACGCCCAGCATTTCTGTGATTTCTTTTTTTCTTCTTCCTGCTTTTCTTTCTGCCTTCTTCCTGTAACCATTTCTCAGACCCCTACCCTCTGCTACAAATCCTGCTTGAGGAAGCTAGGCCAGGGGCTCCCGATGGAACTCACAGGCCTCTCATTGTGGCCTGCCTCACACTAAGATACTGTTCTGTCACATAGTTAGGACCTCTCAACTGGGGACGAAGATGTGTGGCCTCTGTAGACTGTTCCCGTGGCATGTTAGCCCAGGTGTCCAAGTGAGTTTCCTTCCTAGTTCCCAGGCTCTCTAACTGGTCCCATGCCCACCCCTCCACCCACAGCAGCTTGGCATCTCTCACTCCTGTCCTGAAGCTTGCTGTCAACTTCTAGGTGTTAAATCTGGTGTCTCTTATGTCAGCCATTCTTTAATTCTGAGCTGGACTGAGACCAAGTTTTCACTTTGTCCCTTGTGAAAACGAGCACACATTTTAGTAGAAGTTGGCATTGCTCTTTTTTTTCTCTGAAGTAATGTTTCTTCGCTGGGTAAAGGCAGTGCTTAGTGAAAAGTTGGGAACTCCATGTAGAGTCCCCCACATTCTCTGGATATGTCTCTGGTTTGTGATCATGTACCACCAGGCTACACATCATGTCCTGCGTTGGGCCCTCCACGCCCCTTGTCTTTACTTACCAGCTGGTGGTCCAGGCTGTGCCTAGTGACTTCCAGAGAGCAATCTCGGGTGGCCTTAGACAGGACTGCAGCAGGTCTATGGCTTTGGGGGTGAGGAGGGGTGAAATCACTTTGGCTGCAAGGCCATCCTCGGGGCACTGGGACAGGATCTGGAGGAGAGGTAGAAAGAGAAGGTATCAGTACATCCAAGTCAGAAGGGAGCAGGAATTGTCCAAGAGCCCCTCAGCTCTGTCTCCTCGCTTCCTGTCTGTCCCCCCAAAGACTTGGTGTCCATGACTCTGTTGCCAGCCCATCCGGTCTGCTGGGGGTTTTGTCTCGAGTGGTATCCCGGCAGGAAGATGCATGTTGAATAAAGGGAAGGTCCCACAGCTCCCTCTACCCTGGTACTCCCCCGCCTCTTGTTCCTTCCTCTGCCTCTCCTTGGCTTCAGCTTGTCCCCTTTGCCACCCCGTCTGCCCTCCACTCACCAGTTTCAGGGTTTGGAAGATGAGGTCCACGAACTCGGGGGCGCTTGTTTCCTGCAGCCGTAAGGCCAGCTTCCCCTGAAGACACGGAACAGGGTTGGTTCCCATCCAACGTTTACCCTCACCAGAACCCTAGCACTCCATAAGTGGGCTGTGCCTTGGCTCAGAGCCTTCCAAAGTCCCAAGAGAAGGAGGAGCTGGAGAAGGGCAAGGCTTGGGTGGTTGACATCAGAGAGAAGGGGAGGTGGGGAGGAAGGGCCCAGAACTGGCCAGAGCCACTAACCAGGAGGTTGAAGCTCAGCTTGATCTTTTGGAAGCAATCAACGTACTGTGCTTCTGTTAGCTCTGTGGAAGAAGGAATAAAGGTGGGGTTTCCAGGTCCCCCCAAGACACCCCTGCTCCTCTCCTCTGGCATGAACTCCTTACTGTTTTGAGCCTTGTTTTTTTTTCTCCCAAGTTTTCTCTTCTTATGACTGTCCTTCGCCTTGGCCTCCTTCAGCTTTCCAGCGAACAGCTCAATGTCTTTGAGGACATGGTTCAGTACCTCCTGGATGCCCAACAACCCACGGCCTTGAGTGGACAGTCGTGAAAACCCTGAAACTCCCCACCGTGGTCCCTCTATCATCCCACCATAAGACCCAGCCTCAGTCCCAGCCCTGCCCTGTCTACCCTAGGAACCTGGGTTCCTGGGAGTAGGTTCTCCCTTTTCTCCAGCCCAGGAAGCCCCAGCAAGCCTCCAACCGCCTTCAGTTTACCTCATCCCTCTCTGGGTCCTCAGGAGATGGAGCACGCCTCGGAGGAGGAGGCAGAGTGAAGACGCTTGGTTCTCGGGCACTTGGGTAGTGTGTCAGGGACCTTGGGGATGGTGGGATGCCTACGGCGGATGTGGAGGGACCATGAGCCTAAATTCCTTTGCCTCGGTCCAAACCTCCTCCTCCTCCACTTGCCCTTCAGACACCAACTTACTGCGTTCTGGGGTCATGTGGTGTGGCTGCTCTAGAGGAAACCTCTGCTCTGGAAGGGACCTCTGCTCCAGAGGGGGTGTCTGAAGTATAGGGAGTGGCCTTTCCAGAGGATACCCCTTCCGCCTGTCCTGGCTTGGATGAAGGACTCCAAATCGAGGTCTGCTGAGGGCATGATGGAAGACAGAGTTTTGACAAAGTTCTTGGGACAGATACCTAAGCCTACAGGGCATCACCATCTCTCTCCAGGAAGCCCACTCCTGCTCCTTAGTTTCCACTTGAGCCTTCCCTGACTCCACCATGCTTCACCTGCCTGGTTCCTGGGACTTCCTGGGCTCTACAACTTCCCCTGGCTTCTGGAGACAGTATACAATGCACTCAATACATTCTCAACACCCTTTGTTGGTCTAAGCCTTTGTTAGTTCTTGGCATGTGTTTGTTAGGTCCCAGGATCACGAATTCTCCAAATGTGTAGCCCGGATATGGCCCTCAGCCTGAGCTAGGAGGCCCTGGATGTTGCTGGGTAGAAACAGCCTACCTTTCTTCTAGCTCTTCCTCCAGGGCCTTCTGCAGGCTTGTCCTCAGCTGCTCTGCCTGGAGGAAGCAGCAATCATTATGTGTGAGTGTGTGTATGTGATGGTCACCAAACTCCACCCCTGACCACAATACCCGGTCGCTCACCCCTACTTCCTGGCATTGGAAGAGTAAAGTGCTGGTGCCCGGAAAGCCAGACTCCTGCACAGTGACGGATAAGACGGAGTTGTAGGAGCAGGTGTTGAGTGCTACCTCCATGGCCTTGATGTTGTCCAGGCGGTAAGAATCTAGGTCCTCCTAAGGCAAGTGGAAAGGCCAAATGTGAGGAGATCACTGAGAGCCACTGAGGCCCTGAAAAGGTCACCCCTGCTCTCTGGTGGGCTGGGTAGAGTCTCAACCCTGATTCTTATGCCTCTGTCCCTAGTCCCCTGGTTTGGGATGTGTATTGGATGTGGACAGGCACTGAGAGGCAGGTGGAGAGCCTAGTGCTTGCTTTTTAGCATCCTGGGCTAGCCAGGGCCCACCGCTGGGTTTGCTGAGAAGGCTGACCTTAGTCTCGATGTCCAGCAGCTGGAGCCAGCCATCTTTCACCTGCAGGATCAGGTCTTGGCTCCACACTCGACCCTGCGCATCCATCTCCTGAAGCTTCTGCAGGGCATCCTTCGGTTCCCGGACTCTCTGTGTCCCCAGCTTGCATGTCATCAGATGCTAAGGTGACAGGAAGAGACTGGTGTGGGAGAAGGTTTGGGGAGAGGGTCCCCGATGGCAGCAGGCAGGGGAAAGGCAGTGGAGGAAGAAGGTGTGTCCTTGGCTCCCCCTGTGGGGAGGTCAAGCTTTTCAATACAGCAAGAACCTATGGAAGTCTGATTCTTGAAGAGGCTTCCCCGGGCTAGGGCTAAGGGGTTCTGGGATTCCAAAGGAGCCATCACATAAGGTGACTGGGTGATCAGGGGTGTGGGTTCCAATCATCCAGCAAAATCATCCGTGTTCCTCTGTGTGGGCTATGGGACCTTTGTGGTCCCTTTGCTGCGTTTAGGAACCATTGTCCTCGGGTTGTTCTCCCCTTCACCGACCTCACATGCCTGACCCCTGCCTTTTTCCACACTCCTGCTCATACCCAGACGTCTTTCTGTGCCAACCCAGTGCCACGGGGCTCTCGGGAAGATCGAGTGTCCTCCTTCCGAGTCTTGCACAGAGAGAGCTCTGGCCACCTCTGACTCCCAGGTCCTTGCCTTCTGCTGGCCCCATGGCTTGGCACCTTTTCCCTTGGCCACCTTCCTGTAGAGATTCCTGCCTTCCCACAGAAAATGGTGCCTCCCTGAGGTGTCCTCCATTTGCTCTAGGGTTCTGTAGGAGAGGAGCAGTCTACTTCCTGCCCCTGGACCTCAAGCCTCACTCCTGCCCGGGCGCAGTTCCTCCCACTGTGCCCACACTTCCAGCACCTCAGCAGGACCCACAGGCCTGTCATCTTGAATGCACCTCCCCTTGCTCTTGCTTGAGGGGCCTCCGTGAAGCCAGTTCCCAGGCCCACTCTACAGAGAAACTGGACAGTGGCTGGGAAGCCCTTTCTCCACGGCACTGTGGGCTGCCTACTTGTCTCCTAGCACCCGAGGCTGCCAGGGTCGGGGTGGGTTCTGTGGCCCCTTGCCATGCACTCTGGCCACCTCCATGTGCCTGGTTAAGCAAGCTCTCTGACCACATCCTTGCAGTTTAAAAGCCAATTCAAATGACCAGCTCTCGAAGTGCCAGCTATGCATTTGGGTGGGGCCAGTGACTCCATTCCAGTGGCTCAGCCTGGCCCGGGAGTGCAGGATGTCTCCCCTCTGTGACACTGACCCTTATAGCTGCAACCTTCATACCTTCTTCCTCACAGCCATATGCAACCCTGAACAATGTACAGGAGGTGGGGTGGACAATAAAGAGGTTGGTAGGATGGCTTTCTGTGGGTCTTGACTCACTCACTCCTGCCGAGGGACCCAGCATCCACCCCCACGACCTCCAGCTGGGCCTGCTCTGCCCACCCTGGGACTACTCTTCACTCCCCTGAACCTGGCAGATGTTCAGGCCCCAGGCTTGCTGAATCTGGCTCCCCGGAGTTCGGTCAGGTTGAGCTGTTGTGTCAGGGTCAGGTGTATCTGTTTTCGTAAGGCAGTGGACACACGGGAACTCGGAGCTCTACCCAGAAACTGCCTGGGCCCCAGGACCCCAGGGGTACTCACCTCCACCCTGTGCTGCAGGAGGGTAGGTTCTGAGGCCATGCTCTGGGAATATTCCTTCCGGTGCACTGTGGGAACAAAGTCAAGGGCAGGGGCAGCGGAAGTGAGGTGAGGCTTGGGCAACTGCAGGGGCAGTGGAGAAGATGGGGTTCAGGGAGCTTGGCCCAGAGCGGGGCTGGGCAGGGTAGGGGAAGCAGGAAGCTTACGGTAGATGGCTTTGCTGCTGGGCCTGGACATGTTGACACTGCTGAGGTCAGCCTCCTAGAATCACAAGGGACCAGACAGTCTTTAGACTAAGGGACAGAACTGCAAGGCCCAGCCGCTGTGCCTCTGACCTGGGGACTCAGACCAGATCTGAAGCCCTGAGCTCCAGGGGACCTATTCAGAGTCATCTGCATCTAATACCCTGCCCAAGAAGCCCATCTTGTTAGCCTTGGAGGCCATGGGCCAGGGGAGAAAGGGTCTGGGGCAGGGGCACACCACGTGGATGGCCTCCCACGATTTGAATCTGGGTTCAGATCTTACTCTGGGATGAGATGTAAAAGATGCCATGGATGAGTTACTTCTGGGGGAAGGGCCAGGGGGCTCAGTTGCCATAGCAAGCCTCTGGGCAGCCCTGCTGTAATTCTGCAAAGAGGCAGGACGCTCCCACTAATGACCGTGCCAGGGAGAATGTATTTGAGTGTGAGATTCTGTGTGTGTGTGTGTGTGTGTGTGTGTGTGTGTGTGTGTTAGATACAGAGATAAATAAAAGACAGACAGACAGACAGACATATATGGGAGGGGGTTGCCATGTGGAACTTGCCAGGGACCGACGGTCATCTGGTGTCTGACCATCACTCCTGCCTCTTTCCTCCTGGTGTTTCAGATTCTCCCCCAGATCCCCCCAACTCTAAACCCAGCTCACAGTCAACTGGCTGGTAAAGCCTTCTTTAACCACCACCTGCCCAGAGCGTTCCCACGTGTTCCAGCACTGACCGTTCCTCTCTAAGAACAGGAATGGCCATCGCCGCCCTGACAGCACTCCGAGCCCCTCCCGACCCCACCTCGCTTGGGCTTCACCACTGTCCGTCCAGCACCAAACGGTGAGCGCCACTCTAAGGAATTTGCCTTCAGACAACCCCAGAGCTGGAGCCATCATGCCCACTTTTCAGATGAGGACTCTGATATTCAAAGAGGACAACAGACTTAGAGGCACAGCGACTGTTTAACAGGGAAATGAGCCAGAGCTGTCTGGCTTACAACTGTGTCCCTGCCACTGGGTGGCGGGCCGCAGAGGGGGCCTCGAACACACATCTTTTGAAATGGAGTGGAGTTAAACGTCCTGAATTTGTCTGTGCTGGGTGTATGGAGGAGCCAAGGGAGTGTGAATTTGTATGCATTCATCATGGCTTCTGTGCACCTCCATGCCTCTATCTGCTCGGCGCACCTTGGCTGTAGATCCCGACCAAAGTGTAAGGAAGCACCCACACCTGTTTATTGGGACTGTTATGAAAATGACGGAGATCTATGAAGGTGACTCACAGATGGAAAAATGATTAGCCAGTGAGCGCCATGGGAACACAGAGGAGGTGGCTGATCTCTGTTCGTTGCCCTGCTTGTGGGGGAACCCCTTTCCTAGATAACTGTAAATAGTGCTGGAACCTGACCCTTTCCTCCTCACCTCCCTGGCTGTGCCATTCGATTCCTGCTTCCAAATGGAAGAATAAAAAGCCCTCCTCTGCCCAACTCAGCCCTGTTCTTTCACACCAGTGTGGCTCCTGTAGGTCACCACGGCCTCTGGTGGGCTGGTGGGGACGGTTCAACTGCTAAAGACCCTGCATCTCAGGGCTCAGGTGCTGGTGGACCTGCCTGGCCCCCTTCAGTGTCGGGGATCAGCCTTTGCTCTCCCTGGTGTAGGTGACCAGAGCAAGGCAGGGCTATCTACGTGGCTGACCCTGGGGGAAGCCTTCTGGAGCCCCTTGCTCTTCCTGGTCTCCAGCCAGTGGGGAGTTCCTGGGGCTAACCCTTCTTCCTAAATCCGAGAAGAGGCTGCAAAATGTCCCAACCCTGGAGAGCCACAGAGGTGCCCGTGTTGGCCCCAGGATCTCCAGTCCTTCCTATTCCCCAGAGATAGGCACTTACCTGAATGCCTGCCCTGCAGCCTGGTGTCTGGGCCCCCAAGAAGGCTGGTGGTGGTGCCAGTGGTCCCGACTGCTGGAGGGAGTTCAGTTTGGTTCCTCTGCCAGCTGCCTCGGGCAGAGACCTACTGATGATCAGGTGGCCTGTGGGTGAGGAAGCAGGCTTTGAGGAAGCCACACCTGCGGTCTTTGGACTCTGGAGGGTGGGGAGGCCTCTCAGGCCACCAACCGCCCAGCTCTGAAGTGGACCCGAGGAAGTGTCTGTGCCGACAGGTGTCAGAGCTTGACCAGAGACCTCTGCTTCCCAGCTTCCTCCTTGTTGACCTCTGGCCTTGGGTGTGACCCTTCATCTCTCTGCTTTTTATGTACCTCCTCTGAGGCCCTGGGTTAGCATCAGGCCCTGGGGTCTCATGGGCATGTGATCATGTGTACCCAGGTCGTGCCTGTGAATAGGACATTGCCTGTCCTAGAGAAGATGGGGTGGAGCCCAGGGTCACTTGTGCATGACACACAGGGCTGAGGCTTCTTTCAGGGCTCATCCTGGTTGTGCCTGTCTTCTGTCCCCTCTCCTCTGGTCACCTTTATTCTTTATTCTTTCTTCACCCTGTCCCACCCCCACCCCCACACCCAGGCCCCAGTGGATGCCTTCAGTAAAGATGGGTAACCAAGGCCTCCCTTGGCCACTACTCAAGGACGTGCCTAATTCCTGCAAGTTGCTTTATTTAAAAACCCGTGATACCTGGGGCAGGTCAGACTCCTTGCCTTCTGGGAACTCAGAGCTCAATGTCGGACACCAGGAATAAACAGTCAACCAAGGCTAAGGCAGAAGGAGAAGGACGGGGCATAAACGGGGATGGTGATGTGGGAGCTGAGACTCTTGGGACAGAGCCTCAGGTTCTGCGGGGGTTAGGGTCTGCGGTGGAGACTTCTTTGGAGCACAGAGCTGTAGCCTGCAGTCAGGATGCTGTCTTTGGCTTCCCCGGGACCTACTGAGGTATGTTGGCCTGTTCTGTACCATGCATCCCACACCATCCTGACCGCCCAGAGTTCAGGAGCTGGACCCAGGGAGGGATCTCCCCCACCTGAATTGGTGTGAGTCCCCAGGAAAGTCCATTGGGCAGCCAGTTTCTGGGGTCTAGAGGTCAAACCGCCTGTTGGATCAGCACCTAGCCATGATTTTGTGTGAACTAGTCCCTTAGACCTCCCTGGACCTTTGGTCTTCTGAGTCTCAGCCACATGGACCTCTTTCAGATTTGAATAGCCTATTTTTCCTTGCCTTCCCAGGCACAGCTCCATCAAGGCCACAGTCATATTCCATTCTCAGCCCTGGCTTGGGTGACCATCCCGGACCTCATTCTTTCCAGCTCAGACCAGACCCTGGCCTTCCTGGGGGCCTCTCCTCAAGTCAATGTGATCACATCAGGGATTCCTATAGGAGACCTGGGGCCAGGGCTGGGCAGAGACTCAACCCCCAACAGAGCCCTGGCTGACATCTCCGGGCAGAGAAGGATGAGTGTCACCAGGCACTCTCAGCATTGTGAACTCCATGGGATCCTTTGGGTGCCCTTAGGCACTGCAGATCTATCAGACAGGAGCCTGGGGTGGTTAGAGGCTGGGACTGGGGCTCTTTTTCATGTCAGGCATTGTGGAAATTGGCTAGAGTGAGGCCTCAGAGGGAGGAGGGCATTCTGAAGCATGGAGGGGCCAGGCTGTTCACCCCTAGGGATGGATAATGGTGCATCTTCAGGAAGACAGCTCTGAGTCCCAAGCAATCCTGACTGTGGGATGAGGAGCTGGAGCTTGGGTGGGAAGGAAGCAGAACTCAGGGAGCATCTCCCTGAAATTGTGAGGCTACAGAGACTGGGGGACCTCACTTTATTCACCCATCAATTCAATTATTCCTCAGCTTCCTGCAACACAGTGCCAGGTGCTTGAACACACTTGGAGGGGCACAGCCACCCCAAAATGCACCCCGAGTTCATCATCTCCCCATCATCTCCACGCCCTCTGCTATACTCCTACTTCTGTCCCGGGGGGGATCTGGAGTTATTGTTTAGTCCCCCTTCAGTCCCAACATGGGTCCCATCACCTCTTGTGTGGGTCCTCCCTCCTCCATGCATGGCAAGTCATCCCTGCTTCTGACAACAACAGTCCCCTAACTTGGAACCTTGCATCCACCCTTGTTCTTCTCCATCCTCCCTCTCGGCTGTGGATGGAGGAGGACCTCCCTCGAGTGGGAATCTGATTATCAAGTTCTGAACCCAAACCACTTCAGCTTCAGGAGGAAAGCCCAGCTCCATCCCGGCAGGCGAGGCCCTGCTTGAAGTCCAGCTCCTGCTGTAAATACACCTTATCTCCCACACCAGCTGTCCCTTGTCCTTTACCCTCCGCTCTGAGACATCTTGTAATCCCATTTGAGTCATGCCTCTGCACACGGCTGGGTGCTCTCTCGGCCTGCCATGCCTGCTGGGTCTTCGGGTGATGCTTGCCTTCTAAGAGGCCTTCTCCCTTGTCGAGGGCTGTGATGAGTCTGGCCCGTGGCTCCCAGATACCTGCTGCATGTGCTAGTCTGTGACTGCCTGTCACACATCAAGGGCCATGTCCCCATCTCTGAGCCTCTGTGAAGACCCAGATGAGAAGAGGAGGACTCATAAACAAACGTGTGTGGTAGTATGGAAGGCACCGATGGCCAAACTCTGTTTGAGTGCATCAGAAAGACACTCTAAGGAGGAATGGATGGGGTCAACCCTTCAGGCCAGATAGGGGTTCAGCCAAGAGGAAGTGGGAAGGGAATGTCAGGTAGAGGCTGTAATGATGCTGTAGGATGGAGAGGTGTGCATGGTGAGAAGCTGGGTGTGACCACAGCCCAAACTTACCCCCTCCTCCCCCTCCTTCTTCCTCTCTTCCTCCCTCTCTTCCTCCTCCTTCTTTCTCTCCCTCCCTCCCTCCCTCCCTCCCTCCCTCCC